TAAACGATGTGTGTGTGTGTGTGTGTGTGTGTGTGTGTGTGTGCAGTTCCTGGATCAGTTCTAAAGCGCCGTTATAATTCAGAACCGGTAGACGTCTGTGATGGAGAGCACACATGTGAACGAGTGTGTGTGTGTGTGTGTGTGATTGAGTGTTTGTGATTGATTGAGTGTGTGTGTGTGTGTGTGTGTGTGTGTGTGTGTGTGATTGACTGAGTGTGTGTGTGTGTGTGTGTGTGTGTGGAATCCTGCAGCACCATGAAACGCGGAACGAATCTCTGACACACTGTCTTATACACACACGGCAATAATATCTGGCCAGTATTTTATTATTTGATTTAATTAAACTGATCTCATCACATTTTTGTTGGTTTTGTTGGTATGTTGGTGAGTGTGTGTGTGTGTGTGTGTGTGTGTGTGTGTGTGTGTGTGTTCTCAGCGGCATGTCTCCAGCTCTCTCTCTCACACACACACACACACACTCTCTCTCGGGGTCGTCCCCTAGACCGTCGGCACTGATCGCCACATCTGCTTATTTCAATGACACGATTGTGCTATATTTTAATTCAATAATGTTTCTTATTTTGGGGGATTTTATGGTCCTGATTCTTCAGTTGTTCCCAGTATGGTGTTCCCCCAGTAAATCCCAGAGTTCCCAGCAGCGTAAAAACATACACACATTGTTAATATTGTCATGTCTGAGCAAATACATCTTCAATGCTTTTGACTGAAGTCTGAATTAAACACACACTGGCAGATCATCGCTGGAGTGAAACAAGTTTTTAAAAAAGTGAAGAACTTAAAAAAAGTTATAAAATCTTAATCTTAAAAGTTTTTAAACGCACAAAATTTAAATTTTGATATGAAGTATTATTTTCAAAAACACGTTTTACTCTAAAACTGAGAGAAAATAAAAGCTCAATCTAAAAAATAAATAAAAAAAATGTTCCAAATTTGATATCTCAAAAAATGAGTTTTCAGTGAGAGTGTGTGTGCTAAAACCTTTACCAAATTTCGTACCAGTTTTTCTTTGTGAGAAACAGTTTACTTATCTAGAGGACCTTCCCACTGTTCTCCACTGGATTATGAAATATAAAGATACTAAAGCATCGATGACAATAAAGAAGCTTCATTTTTTTTTAGAAGCGCAGAAATGTTCATCTTTAATAACGTGTTGGTTTATTCACTAACTTCATCCACTATATAATTAGAAAGCACATTCGCCAGTTGCTGTGAAAGTGAACTGAATCTCTACATGTTGTACCACACAGATTATTATGATTTGAAAAATGACAGATTATTATGATTCGTTTAACCTCTCATTTGTTGGTTCATAGAGCGAACATTCAATGAACAAACTATTATCTACAGAGCATATACACTAATGTTGACAGATACAACTTTACAGTAAAGTGTTACTTATAATTCCACATGTAATTAATATAGCAGTCAATATGTTAATATCGTGTCTTCAAACTAGCAGCTGTAATCAGTCTTCAAAACTATAACAAGAATAAGATATGATTTCTGACTTCAGAAAGTTATGAAGAGTATTATTATTATTATGAGTATAACTTTAGCAGTAGTTTGAGCAGCTGATGATGTAGTTCGACAGAACTGTTATTTGTTTTCATGAAACCGCTCCACATGACAATAATAACAACACAATATCCGATAGACGGTTATATTAATCATAATTACCTTCCTCTGCTGTGATGAGTCCAGTCAACACGAACCAGAACCAGGAGAGAGAACCGATCCAGAAAACATGATCCATCTCAAACTCCAGTCAGCTCATCAGACTGAGATCATCAATCTCTTCAGCTTCTCGAAAATGACCAACACTTCTTCAGCTGAATGTGGATCTTTCTTTAAAAGTTAAGCAACTCATGAAGAACTTGCGGCAATAAACTTATCCACAACTAATCTCTGCCCACTTCAGAGTGGGTTTCGCACACATTAGGATAGCACCTCATCGGTATCTTAAACCCAAACGGGATCAGATCCAGATCAGAAACCGAGATTCTGCTCAAATCGGCTGAAACACAATCCTGCAATATGCGCGTCCGTGTGAGTGCGCGTCCACTATCCTGCCATGGAAAAAACCTCTATTCCCCGCAGTGCGTCCGTTTAAAGTTGTTTATAATCCACTCCTCGCTGCGTTTGAACTGAAAAGTCCAATCGACATCAACAATTAAAGAACTATTCCACGAAACTCGGAGTTTCGGTCGACGCGAACTTTCTCTCAGGACTGAACGCGAGGCGCGCGAACCCGAGCCTGGACTGCAGCAAGCCCCGCCCACCGCATGGCAGGACCGGCGCTCATTGGCCCATCGGCCAGTCTGTCCAGACGAAACATGAGCGCGCTTTCATGTGGATTGGCAATAATATCTGGCCAGTATTTTATTATTTGATTTAATTAAACTGATCTCATCACATTTTTGTTGGTATAGATGAAGGCACAAACCGGCTTATGTTTTAATAATAAATAAATGTTATAACAGCAAAATTATCAAAGGAATGTAATTCTGAATTCATTGCTGTATACGTTTATTTATTATTTCTTTATTTATTTTTAAATTAATGTATGCTCCTTTAACGTGGAATTATGTAGGCCCATTTATCTTTATTCATTCATTTTGCGGGTAATTTTATCAGTTTCAGACACATGTGAGTCTGACTAAAACGGATAAAATGATCAGTTTCAGTCAGGTCATAATTTCAAATTTGTATGCCATAATGACATTTGAAATTATGACATGAAATTGAAATAATTACGCAAAAATACGTAAGTTAAAGTGTTTTTAATGAGTTAAAAATACGCAATTTACTGTGAAAATTTCTTACTGTCATAATGTCGACTTGTATGACATAAACTTCGACTTTTATGTAATAATTACGACTTTTATATCATATTTTGATGTAATTTTATTTACAAAAGCTTTTTTGGTGTGGCGTTCATGACAGGTTATCAGGTTGTTTGACTATAAAGAGTCTCTGTGTTTATGACTGTGTTTCTCACGCTGTGATCGGGGTGTGAATCTCCTCACGCGCTCCCGCGAGCTTTTACACCCTCCGCGCGCTATTGTTCACGCGCGTTAAAGCTCCATTAGAGCTCGCGCTCTCAGGTGAGATGAGAGACAGTAGCGGAGCT